ATTAAAAGAAACTTTATGATTTTACTTAAATATTAATAGAAGATACTTGGTGTATGTATGAAGTGAACTATGAAAATAATAATAATAATAATAATAATAATAGGTCATGTTATGTTATACTGATTTTCAAAAATCAAATCATTTTGCTAAGAAAATTTATTGAGAGAAATTTGATTGAATACATTGTATCAATATACATGTTTCAGAAAACAAACTAATATATATATATATATATATATATATATATATATATATATATATATATATATATATATATATATATCTTAGGGGTTCAAAAAAGGATGACATGCCAAAGTGGGATTTATTATCGCATACGGAACCGAAGAAGGAGTTGACATGCACGATGTACCCCGATACAGATCTCCAGATTATCGATCTTGAAACCGAATCGAAAATAATGTCCGACAAACAAAAGGCAGATGCCCCGCTATTTGAATACCTAGAAGCTCGAATTCATAACCTAACTGCAGCCCTGAATGATAAGCCACATGTAACAGTTATCTAATAGCCCGACGACGACTTCGATGTGGATGAAGTTTTCGTCAAGCACGTCGAGAGAGAGAGAGGCCACATCTGTTTTTTCTAGGAGAACAAGGTCCAAACAAAATATCGTGATGCCTTATGAGAAAAACCATCTTCTTAGTACACTGAAAAAACTACAAGAAGTTCGGGGCTTACACGAAGCAGAGCCAGGAAAACCGGCAGTTCATTGATTCTATGGCAAGATCAGAAGAGACAATAAGGTAACAATTTATTATTAGTTTGTTCATATGTGTAGTGGATTTTGTTATTTTTTTTTTCTTTATGCAGTTTGTTATAAGACGTAAATCTATGTTGCAGTTGGGATTTTTGATTTGTGTTCATATGATATGAGATCAAGTTTACACCATGCTACATATTGTGGATGGTGTTGACTGATGTGGTTTTGATTTGTGTATGTATGTTACATATGTTATGTCGTTTCTTTGTTTTTTGAAACCAAAAAAAAATTATAGGTGATTCTGAATTATATGGCTCTGAATTATGCATGTATTCTAAATAATTTTGTATTTGTGGTTTTTATAAACAACTTAATTATAGTTGTTTAAACCACTTAATTTTGTTTTTTGGCTCTGAATTCTGCATATATTCTAAATAAGTTATTTTGTTCGTCCTGCATATACATATTAATATGGCTCTGAATTATTAGTTTGTTCATATGTGTAGTGGATTTGGTATTTTATTTATTTATTTATTTATTTATGCAGTTTGTTTTGTTAGACATATACCTATGTTGCTGAAAACATAAATAACATTGGCGTATTACGAATTCGCTCATACTTATTGTTTTACATATATTAATACTTGTGAGTAATGTATTTAAGGATGTACCTTTATTTATTGCAGCAAAGTACTTTGGCAAAACGATGAGAAGACAGTGTGCGGCCTGGCATCTAACACGTTTGCTTGCATTCAGAATGAGAGCCTTTCCAATGGTGTAATTAAATTATACGAGTTGTTGTTTTCGTGTATTCTTTTCCAGTATATGTGTGTGTAATTCAACTTGATCGTAAAATATTCGTGTTCCCGTCTTGGTTGCTGGTACATATTATACACAGTTGCGTACTCTTTAATCACTTAATGAGAATTGTATAAATGATTTGTGCTTTGCAGGACTCAATCCGCAGAAGAGGTGATGGTATGTTCGATCCACTGGCCGACATGTGCAATTATGATATCCTGATATTCCCAATTCTGCAGATCAATACAAATGATAGGAGGGGTAATGATCACTGGACAGTTCTTGTGCTCGAGAAGTCCGAAGGTGATTATAAATTCTACAATCCCTTGATAGCGAATATGCAGGACGCAAATCTTCTAGTAATCCATAGAGATTTGTTAGCTTAACACAATATTTATGCAATTAAATTGCATTCGTTATCTATGAATTAGTAGGTTTAACCTGATATTTTTATTATGTAACCACAAAGCTGCGGTGGATAAGACGGGGAGATATCACAAACTTGATCTCGCGTATGACGAAGAAGTGGTTTTAATGAATGATGCTCCGCAACAGAAGAGTGACAGTGTCGACTGTCGGGTCGTTGGTTGCTACATTGTGAGGCAGTACTTTGAAAATAAAACAATTATTACAAAAGCACAAGGCGTTAAGGATATTCCAAACACGAGAAAAGAGATCGTCGAGACTGTACTGGAATGAGGCAAAAATAAAGTATACAGTAGATGTAAGGGGCGAAAATGGGTAATATTTTGGGATTTATTTATCTGCATATTGTTTTTGTGATTTTTTTGGAATTCAGTTTTCGGGCATACGCTTTATTTATCGTTTAGTCGTGTGAAATATAGCCGTGGAGATTAATTAACGTATTGTTTGATTTTCTCGTTTTTGATGGGTTATTATGATTTTATTTTGGAATGAACCACGTTTGTTTTGCGTTATGTCGTTTGTTGATAAGTCCGTGTTATAAGTTCGTATGCAATTGGATTTTATGTATTCATAATAGCGTTATAATAGCGTTATGAGTGTACTGTTATAAACCATATTTGTTTGTTAACTTAACTGGTTTTATTTGTATGATGGGTTTAAAAAAAATGGACACTAAATCCATTGTATATCAATAATTTTGATATTTAATAGATGTTTTTTTAGAACTAAACCAGTCCTTTTATAGTGAAACAATGGTTTATGTATTTACAATGTTTTCGTGTTTCCATACTAATTTATACCCAAAAAGCTATTGTTTGAATAAATTCCTCACAAATCGATCGTCAATTTGACGATATTTCGTTGTATAATGTGAGCTGCAAAAAACCACCAATAGTAGTTTTGAGAACACATTGTTGAACAGGTCAGGTAACAAAACAACCATAGTTGTTTTGTTTTGTTAAATTGATGCAAATTAAAAAAGGAGGAACAACAGGATTTGCAACATAATACTTAAACTGTTATAATCCGTTTATTAAATAACAGTACTTGCTGCTACTGCGGGGTATATGTTGTGCTTCAAAATTGTGTACCAAAACCAAGTAGTGTTTTACTAAGAATTATTAATAAACAATGGTTTACAAGCTTTTCATGTTTCCATACTAATTTATACGCCAAAAAAAAATTATCGTTTGAAATGTAAACTCATCACTGATCAAATGTTGATTTGATGATATTTCATTGTGTACTGTGACATTGATCTAAAACCACTACTAATAGTTGATAACACATTATTGACTAGGTGTGGTTTTAGAACTACAGTTTTTTTGTTTTGTGTAATTAATGAAATAAAAAAGTACAAAAGTTTGCAACATAATAGTTTATGTTTTATAATCCATTTAGGCCCCTTTTGGTTCGCTTGATAAGGGGTGATAGACAATTTAATCACCCCTAATCCGGCATTTGGTATGTAGGACATGAACCCGTTATAGATTATGGGCCCGGTACACAATCATGAAAACAGATGATTATTTGTCCCACCTCTTGAGGTGGGATTGTGTAATCAATCAAAATATTGAATGAGAAATTACCAAAAGGGCCTAATATATACAATTTATTTACAACAATATTAATTATAAACATGAACAATCCCTCATTCAAAGAACTGTCAGTCCTAGTTTTGCGGCGGACGTGGAGAGATCAATGGCGGAGTGAAGCATTTGGTGTAGACGCTTGACTTCCTTGCCGACCAAGGAGCACTCGAGTTTGAAGATTAATTTTGCTTCCTTAACCCCTTCGTTTATTTGGTCAGATAACAAGATCGAAAGAGATAAAACCTCTTCGATTTGTTGTTCTTGTTGCTCGATCGTTTCCTGATTCTGGGGTTGTAGCTTATGAGAAATTGTTTGTATTGTTGTTGGTTTGTTATTGCAATTGATGGGGGTTTCGCCGCCATTGTTGCTGATTCAAGAAAGAATGAAAATACGAGATTTTTCCGGAAAAAAATATGAGCGATTTTGAGAAATCATTTTGCAGGGAAGCCAAGAAAAAAGTGTGTGTGTGTGTGTGTGTGTGTGTGTGTGTGTGTGTGTGTGTGTGTGTGTGTGTGTGTGTGTGTGTGTGTGTGTGTGTGTGTGTGTGTGTGTTTTAAGTAAATACCATAGGCATACGAACAAAAAAATTGCTGAATTGCATTCTTTATCGTCTGCGTTTTTTTAGTGGTCTGAACTGCATTTTTTAATTTAAGATCAAATTTATTTATTTTTTAAATTAACACAAGTAACTTTTATCTTCCTTTTTTCTGGAAGAATACTCATAAATAAAAGAAAATTCACTCTACTTTTTAAAGTAAACTATTTTATGCAAATAGCAAAACAACGAAATTATTTGCAATTGTGTAGTAGGATTATATTGATTTAGTGCAAATTTTCCAATAATTTTGAAGAACACATGGTTTCCTCTCATTGAATCTTGACACAAGGTTTCTAAAAAAGAAAATGATTAGAATGAGTTCTATACAAATAATGGTAAGGATAATTTTGTCATTTCCAGTGTTATCAGTCCGAATCCTGCAAACCAAACATCACATTGCAGTTGTCCTTCACCGGTAAATCCTACAAACCAAACCTGATTTTTTTGTTACTATATAATCATGAACAGTGTTAAATTATATAATCCTTAAAATTTTATCTATCCTATCCATCCAACCAAAAGAGCCCTTAGTAAATACCACTACTTACTCTTACACAGAGGTATGTATTGTGCTCATTGTGTACTAACTGAAGTAGTGGTGTAATGAGAACTTTATAGTTGAACGAAATTGGTTGTCTACATATGTTGTGACATGGCAAATGAAACAGAAAATACATCGTAATATAAAATTCCATTTGTTTTCCATGAAAACAAATTACAAATTAGCAAATTGTGTCTGATGGGGGTGAAGTTCGAAGTTGCATTATTGATCCACAAAACGCGTCTTAAACGACAGCATAATTATTAAAATATTGAGATGAAAAGTATAAACAAAAAATATATAGAGGCAACGCATCGATCATTATGCAACCATTTTGCAAGAGTTCTTGTTATGGTGGCCCATCCCCCTACATTTACTGCACATAATAGTACGGGGGACCAATTGGCCCCTACTCGGAATCCTCTTTCTCTTCAGCCTCCTTCGGCGAGTTCTAAGTTCAGGTGGGCCTATGAGTGCATCTACATCATCTGTCATAGGCTGCACAATGAATGTCGATTTATGAAAACAGTGATCGACGTGTTGGTATGTGCCACCCATATGGTGATTTTTTTTTTTGTGGCAGCATGCACACACGGTATACCATTTATTTGCCACATTCTGCAAGAGCACGTCCCAGATCGAACATCAACAACAGCCATTCGGATCGTAAAACAGCTCCCACACATAATCAGACGACTTTTTCACCTGCCACGATCTGCCTTTATCAACCAACAACCACATCTTTTTATCATAGGTGTTGCACAACATGGTTGGCCTATCATATGCCTCACCTAGTCTACGTGACATCTGCGCCGTCACCAATATACGAGTACCATCAATTAAATTCGTTATCGGAAGTAATCTCCTCATCCTAATTTGTGAATTCCACAATTCACAACTGTTTGACGTCATCTGACCATACCGTTGTCCCACAAAATATGTGTTGGGCCACTTATCTTTAGGGGCATCTGCCAGAAATTTACAAACTTTGGGTCCGCCCGTTGCTCGCAGCTTCTCCACGTTTCTTCCGTATTCTTGTTTAGTAACAGCGTATGCGCAGTATTCAAACTGTTTGAGAACTGCGTTGCGATGATTCTTAGTAGCACCCCTAAATTTATCTTTGAGATTCAAAGTTAAATGTTTGTAACAATAACCATGAACACAGTCCGGGAACACGTTCTTGACACCTTGAAGAATGTCGTGGTTTCTGTCGGAAACGAAGGCTAGCGTTCTGTCCGTCCCTATTGCAACCTTAAAATGTTTTAAAAACCAATCCTTGTTGTCGTCTGTCTCTTCGCTAACAACTGCGAATGCGATCGGGAATATACATGCAAGTCAATTATATAAATGTAGGATTTTTTATGATAATATTTTTAATAAATACTGATGACAAAATCAATGAAGATTACCTTCGTCACCATCCTTTTTCACTGCACTTAGTAGAATTCCTTCATGCTTGCCTTTCAAAAACGTACCATCAATCATACCAACTAGATGGCAGAGTTTGAAGCCCTCCAAGCAAGCAGCAAATGAAAAAAAACATCGACGAAAGATGTTTTTGACCTCATCAACTTCAAGGTGGAAAACACTTCCTTGATTTGCATGTTCGGCTTCTCGAAAATACACAGGGAGGAACGAATACGAAAGCCCATGATCGCCAAAAATCTTGTCCCTCCCGCCATCGGTTGATCTCCACGACACGTAGTATGTTATGTCAAGCCCGTAATTTTCTTTTATCTGTGCTTGAATTTGCCAAGGAGTAATTGTCGGCATCGTTCGAATATAACCCTCGATCAGTTCCGTATTACATCAGAAGTGACAAGCTTCTTGCTAGTAGTGCCGAAAAAAAATCCACATATGTGGTTATTGTTGTACTTACGAATGTAGAATTAATTGTTAGACTTGTCTACGGACACATGTATCCTCCACGGCATTGCTTTTCATCATTGAATTGACATTCAGCCCGAACCTTGCATGTCTAATTCTTATAATGCACGTATTCGAACCCAATCTTCACCAACAACTTCACAAGCGACTTCTTGAACTCATTAGCCCCTCCAGCAAATTCTTGGTCTTCATTTTTAATTAAGTTAGCCCATTACGCACTCAACAATCTCTTGCCGTTATCTGCTGATATGTTTACAATGTTTTGTTGTTCACTAACGACTGCAGCCCTATCGTATTCGACCAATGTTACAATCGTCTGCACTGGTTGCGTTTGGATACGATCACCAAGATTGGCATCCGCAATTTCCTGTTCCTTTACGGTTATCTCCACACGACCAGCACCAATCTCACGCATGATGAACAACATTGATGTCAAATCATCATTGTTCGCAAGGATGCAGTCGTCATACACGTCAAACTTATAAGTCAAAGTGAAGTTACGTCCGTTGATCGCTAGGGGTGGGTTTTTTTTTTTTTTATCAAATTGCCCTACCAACCCGTTGCCCTACCGATTCTCTACCTAATTATTACCGTACCCTACCGAAATGTTTTGGTAGGGCAACGACACAGAGTATTATTAAAATGGTATTGCCCTACCGTACCGAAACATTATAAATAAATAAAATTTTATTTTAATTATTCATTTATTATATATAAAAGGTGAACATAGTATCCTAACTAACTACTATTAGTTAAAATTAATTATACTCTTTAGGTATGTCAAAAATATTTTAAATTACTTTTATTAATGATGATATAATTGATGTTAAAAGTTTTTATGTTATAATTTTATTTATGAAATATTTTACATTGGGTAAATTTAGAACATATATTTAGGACACTTATATTTTACATTTTAAACATGTATACCTTGAATTTCTTTCAAAAAAATGATATACAATTTAGACTTAAATAGTAAATAATATAAATTGGTAATTACCGTTACTATACCCCACCGTACCGAACTTTTGATATACCGAAGTTTTTGGTAGGGCAATGGTAATGGATTTCATAATACCGAAATTTCGGTAATGGTAGTGATTCGAGGGGTTTGGTACAGTTGCCCTACCAAACCCACCTCTATTGATCACGTCCCACTTCGACCAAACATATTTATCAACGAATCAAAATTCATGCGATCAGACCATCACTTTATTGCAACAATCCCTCGAAACCTCAACACAAAGGTCATATTGGAATTCATGAAACTGCACAAATAATAACATGGTAATGTTTTAAAAAAAAAAATCATGTTATTAACAAGGGAAATAAAAGACATATTACCACGGTAGTGAAAATACAGTATAAATCTGACACATGTACGATAATAATACTTAAAACGGACATGTAACTTTGAAATCCGGCATTATGTCAAAACCACTATGTAATTTGAAAGGATCGATCGACTAGCTGCTAACAACCACATAACAATAGAGGGAAAAAAATAACATGTGCATTCATATTAACATTATTTCAAACAGTGATCAAACCACGACTAGTATTCACTTACATAGTTTGCGTAAAAGCACGAAAACCGCTATGTATCTTCTTGAGACGCCTTTTCTGCTCATGCAATGAGATCGGTAATAATGTGGAAAAAATACCGATTACGGTGAAACGGTTCTTTATAATCAAGGGACGGGAATCGTAGATTATTTGAGGAGGTGTTACGGTATAATAGGAAAAAATATTACATATTTTTTTTATTTCCAATCTTAAAACATACGTTATTTTAAGTTAGTGGTATAATTGTGATAATTTATTACTTTTAATTAATAAATGCTGAAATGGATTTATCTCAAAAAGTTGTAAAAAATTTGGACTGATTATAATTACACTTGTGTGATGGGGATTTTGTCAAATAATCCTATATATATATATATATGTGTGTGTGTGTGTGTGTGTGTGTGTGTGTGTGTGTGTGTGTGTGTGTGTGTGTGTGTGTGTGAGATTTGTAAATTAAGTAATACGGTTTCGATTCGTATTGCGATTTAACAATAATGTTATATCACAAAACACTCATTGTTTGAAGAAATCCGATATCGACCACCTTCTTAACTTTTTAGCTTTATATAATTAATAACTAGCATTTTTTTTTCCCGTGCGATGCACGAGATCGTATTTTAAAAGTGAAAAAAATAATCAATTTAACAAATAAAATTTCTATCTTTTTTTCTTAAGATTTGAGATATATTGATGAAAAATAAGAGATGGAAACCAGATTCTTCACGGTTCAGTGTCAATTTTGATAATTGCTGAAAATATAGTTAGAAAATGAGTACAAAAAAATATTAAAAATAAATAATTACAGAAATGTCATTAGGGTTTGTTATGGTTACCCAGCGTTTCTTTCTTTTATATATACGATAGGGGCTTACTATTCGTAGTGCATTTTTTTCCAGTTGCAGTACAATTTAATTCATTTGTTGAGAAACCTTTAACTTTTTTTTCAAATTCTCTCACGATCCAAGTTTTAAAACTTTGCAAATCGTCATTTTTTTACTGAAATGCTATTCATATAATGTTTCTTACTTGCTTGCAGCGCGATTTATTTCATTTGTAACTTTCCCCAAAAAAAACCCAAATTCGCCCGCTATTTCGTGGGTTATATTACGAAATGCATTAAACAGTTTCGTGTATTTTTACACGAAGTATACGTGTTCATCACTATAGAACTAGGAGGATGAAACTGGGCGATTGAAAACATTCTTTAGTTTTGTGACAAAAAACACGAAATGACAACTTATATTTTGTGGAATTTTACACAAAATTTAAGCTAATTCGTACAAAATAGTACGAAATCATTAATTGAGTTTTTTTTTTTTATTTAACCAACTTATTTGTTAACACTCAAATAAATACAATAAAATAACATAAATATTCGTAAACTCAAGTAAAAAAACAAATTGACCTAAAATTCAAATATAAATACAAAATGACCTAAAATTCAAATACAAATACAAATTGAACTACCGACCAGACTTTAATTGTTCGTACAAGAGTAGTCGGGATTTGAACATTTTGAGTAAGTGCCTAAGGTTTTTAGCTCTATGATGTACCCATGCCGGTTGGATATGTGGTAGAGGACTATTCGCGACCAAATTAACAAGCATGAAATGATTGTTGTGTAATGTCACAACAATCATACATGATAAGTGACCATTGCCAAACATAGTAAGGTAAGTCATACTCCCTACTTGGGTCAAAAGTACCACCAATGCACTGTATTTGGTAGCAATGCCCAATCTCGTTTCATTCATGTCCATCCAATAAGCTTGTGGACAAGGCCCTGAGGACCAGTCACACTTGCGTATGACATCAACGTATCCAATACTGCCAAACATCGCCGTGTACACATTAGCATGCTCGTATAACTCAATAAGCAACTCCCCTCTCACTTGCGGCCATCTTTCTTGATCCCCGTACATGGCTTGAGCAATGCACCGGTACCTACAGTTGCCATCCGCCATCACGTTAACATAATCTTGAACAAGACGGACCATAAATCTGGGCACGAAAGAATAGAAGTCGATTCATTCATGTGCAGGTATTGTAGGGGCAGCAGATTCTTGTGTGGGAATACGAGAACCACGACATTTCATCTTCGATTGAGGCATTCCATCGGTGCTTCTATCAACATTTTCTTTAGGAGTCTTTGCACCAGGGGAGGATTGGCGACCCTTGGAACCACAAGACGACGTAATTTTCTCCTCATCAATATGATACTGCCATCCGGAAGGGTCTCTCTTTGTCGAGTTATTCTTTGGTCGTCTTTTGGTCTTAGCAAATGATGGATCGGACAGATGCGACGTAGATGGATAAATGATGCCACGCAATGAGGCCACGACATTTATCTTGTTCGTGTAATTCATCTTCTTCAAATGGTAATTCAGGTCATCAATTTGTCTATCCACAATTGCCTCGCGGTTTACTTGATACTCAGGTAGCTCCGACGAAGGTTCAACTGCCATGGTACTTCAGAATGGATGCAAGTCTGAACTGACGAACGTGTCATTATCTTCCATTTTCTGCACAATTTTGCACGCGCAAGGGAGCCCATGAGTATTCCAAAGATAGTGTGTGCAAATACTCGTATCTTGTATCGCCGGGGACTCCACCTCTTGATCCAATTTCTCCAATGCCAGATGCGTAGCATAACAAATCAAACCCTGAAAACACGGCTATGCTATATTATGCTTCCTTATCTTGGGTGATAATGAAAATTCCCACTTCTGCTGACTAATTTGGATATAAACTTGGTCACGAAGTTTGCCTTGCACGTTATCCAGACCTCCGGTCGAAGCATTTAACCAACCCTTTGCAGAAGAATGAGCACTCTCTACCCTATTCGATTACAAAGACAATCAAAATATACAACGACAATATAAATATTATTTTTATACAATATATTTTATCATTTAAATAATATCATTTAAATAGCTAAAATATGTAATACCTGTTGGTGCTCGTGTTGCTAAAATGATACACATTGCGGCTATAGGCTCGGACAAACTTCTCCTTGTATATCAACCTCGTATCATTCAAATATTGTATCAGTCTAGGATATCATGCATACCGTCCAACAATTTCATTGTAATTGTAATGATACTCTGCTTCGGTTTCTGATTTCACCAGCTTAGCCCACAGCACACGTCGGAATATTAGACATCGGTCTTTGTTGCCTCCCATAAATTCGTATTTGCCTCAATATTTCTGTTTATATGGCATATACACAACATATGATACAAAACTGGAAAGACATTTGGCAGTGCTTTTAAGAGACCCAACTCCATGTCTGTCAAGATCGCATCAGGTTCGACACCATCTAACAACTCTCTCAAACAATTCAAAGTCCACTCTAGGGGTGGGAACGAGCCGAGCTCGAGCCGAGCTCGGCTCTTTTGGCCAGCTCGAGCTCGAGCTCGAGTCCATGTTCCCGAGCTCGAGCTCGAGCTCGAGCTCAGGCTTAATTTAATTTTTTTTTTTTAATTATTATTTAATTTTTTTATTAAAATCATTTTATTTTTTATTAAAAATTATTCATAGAAAAATAAAAAAAAAATTATAAAATAAATAATGAACTCTAGTTATATATATTTTTTATTTTTTCTATTATTATTATTATTATAATATTTTATATTATTATGAATTATTTAAGTAATATAGATTTGTTTCTATTTAAATACTAGATATATTTATTATTATAGACTATTTACTATTTAGTTAATAATAATAATAATAATAATAAGAATAAGAATAATATATATATATATATATATATATATATATATATATATATATATATATATATATATATATATATATATATATATATATATATATATATATATATATATATATATGTAAAAAAAAATAAAAAAATAGAAGGCAGCTCGCGAGCCGGCTCGCGAGCTGACGAACAACTAATTTTGAGCTCGAGCTCGTGAGCTCGAGCTCGAGCTCGAAAAACCCGAGCTCGAGTTCGAGCTTTTTTCGAGCCGACTCGTCGAGTTCGCGAGCCGGCTCGGCTCGTTTACCACCCCTAGTCCACTCATAGGTGTCTGCATCTTCATGCGACATAAATGCAAAAGCAATCGTAAAATTCCTCCCAACTGGAGTTATCCCAATTATTTCCAAAAGAGACATTCCATACCTACATCAATGTTTTTTCTACATATTTAAACAATACAATACATTATAACACAACAATCATAATTTAAACAATCGTAATTTTTACTTACTTATTGGTTTTGTATGTGCAGTCCATCAATATAACATACAGGAACAGTCGTAGTAACTTAATAGATTCGGGACATGCAAACATAACATCCGTTATTGTGTTGTTCGTTTCACTATCGACGCGATGCCAATATCGATACTCGCCTTGTTGAAAGTTATGCATCAGAAACTGAATAACAGTCATGCCCTCAATTTCCTCAGATTTAATGTTGGCCAACTCATTGTAAACATGCTTCATAGAAGTTTGTATCGTCGGATCATCTTTCCTCAATCTATCCATGATTAGCATTGGCTTCACGTGAGAATTTCTCAATTCTTTAATTCTTGCTTTCTGTTGTGGAGTTATACGACTAGTCGTACCATGTCCGTGAGGAAACAAAGTCGGAGGATGAGTATGCTTGCCATCGCTGACAGTCAACCGCCATATTCATCAAACCTTGACTTTTTGCCAATCAATTTTGAACGGACAACCAAATTTTTTTGTTCCACTATTTCTAGGATCTTCCACATCGATATTCGTTTGTCGGTCATGTCCGTATTTGTCACACGTCAAATACTGTGCATTCTCCCTTCTAGATTGACAAATCAAACGGTGAGAATGACTAACTGCAGTTGCTTTGGCTCACTTGATTAATTCTTCCCTACTATCGAACACAATATCAACGAAGTGAGAGAAATCTTCATATTCGTTTCGCTCCAAAACTGCGGGATCAAAATACAAGTTGTCTTCATATCGCTGCGTAAAAAAAAGATAAATATGTTAGATACTTGCACAAAAAAAATAGGGATTTCGTGTATAAGTACACGAACTACGTGTGTACATTTTGTGTAAAATTGTACAAAACACACAATACAAACAGTTTACTGTCTGTTTCGTATTATTTTATACGAAATACGAGTTAACATTTCGTAGTGTTTTGTACGAAATTATTAGAAACATGAATATGATGTTAATTTCGTATAGAACACCACGAAACGCGTTGAAGAATTTCGTGATATTTTACACGAAACGACTAAAAATCGAACAATATCAGACAAAAACGTATTTTTTTTACCTCATTAACGAGATCGATATTGGTCATCTTGATAATTGTTGTGTTCTAACTGATTGTAACGAAAATAAATCACGATCTACAAAAATCGGTATATTAGAAGGTTGAGAGGATTTGGAAAAAGGTTAAAGGGTTTCTTGACAATTGAATTATTTCGCACTGTAACCAGAAAAAAATGCACTATGAATAGTAAGCCCCTTTTTTTATGATAGTATCGGAAAAAAATGCACTATGAATAGTAAGCCCTTTTTTTTATGATAGTATCAGTTAGAATTACAATTGTTATCAATATGGACGAAACCAACTCCGACTATTTGGTAAAAAAACACGCTTTTGTCGACTTTCATGTTTTTTTTAATGAATGCAATGTTGCATTTCGTGTAATCCTACATGAAATGATTTTTTTAAATGTTGTTCCATTTCGTGTGAAATTACACGAAATGCAACCTTGCATTTCGTGTAATTTCACACGAAACGACACAAAAATAATGTTTTTTGGACTGTTTCGTGTAGATTTACACGAAACACATGCTTCGATTTCATGTAAATCTATACAAAACAATCCGAAAATTAAAAAATTCATTTATTTCGTGCTACGAAGCACGAAATGAGGAAGTCCATTTCATGCTTCGTGGCACAAAACAAATGGGATTTTTTTTTCTTTTTTTCCGATTAATCATAAACTTATTCTAATGGATGTAATTTGTTAACTAAACAACAATAAAACGTTAAAATTACATAAAGAAGCAATTTTTATCTCAAATGGTTCGTTTAATTAGCTAGAGTTCAAAGAGGATTTGAGAGGATTTTGGTATTTTTGAACAAAAACTAGAAATGAAATAAAGTCACAAAAATAAATTTACAGCCTTTTGTTTTTTGTTTGGAGATGCATTTTACAAACCCTTAATTCGTTTTTAATGAATAAACTATACAGACTTGTCCGCGCTTTTCATCTTTTCCTCTTCTTTCTCCCATTTCAACAATTCTTATATCCATCCCTAAAAATTCAATAATTCATCTTTTATTTTGCTAATTCATTATGCAAGTTTTAACTCGATGGCGAAACCTTTTGATTTTCAACAACTCCATTACTCAATCGGCAAGGATCGCCTCACCCACAACGAATTCTGCTCCCTTTCATTCAACTACTGCTTTTTTCGACAAATGGAAAATTAATTTCAACTCTGTAAGATTCTTTTCGCCTTCTTTTTTTAATTGTGTGTGTATATATATACCTATGATGTGTGTGGCCGTCTCGATTTTGTTCTTTAACTATTTGGGTGTTATTTATGTTTCCTAATTTTGGATGGTAAATGGTAATGACCTTGAAACAAATTGGTTTATTTTTTTTATTTTTTTTCTATTGTATCTATATTAACAAAGATACAGATTTGGATAGTAATGTAGATTGAATCCAAACGTCTGAAAGTTTGAAACTTTGCTCAGGGATTACAATTCGGAGTTAATTGTTCGTAACCGATTTGATGGATTGTGTTATATTCAAATTCATTTAGAAAAGAAACAAAGAAGAATGTTGTGTATGTATATTGATTTGAAAAGTAACTGATTATTAACTAATAAGTATGTATATTGTATAGTCGGACATTTGTTGTTTTACGAACATCAGTAAGAACTAATAAGTATGTATATTGTATAGTCGGACATTTGTTGTTTTACGAACATCAGTAAGAACTTTGGAACTTGATAATTGATATTGTCCTATTGGTTTGACTGAAATAAAAGTTATGACGATATTTTTGGGGGTTTATATTCTTTGTTATCGAAATGCAGTGGTTTAACAATTAATGTATGCTGCAGGATGTGAAACCAGATAAACAACCATCAAAGGTATGTAAGTTGCTATATTTTTTTTCTATGAAGTCGTTTGTCGAATTAAATTTTCATTATTGGATCCTATCTGTTAGATAGGTGTTTTTATATTGTTAAATTAAAAGATGTTGCATGTACTCGTTTTTTGTCCAACTAATCAGATATTTCTTTCTAACACACTAGAATTTCTATTGGGCATTGATTCCCTTCTAGCTGGGGCGTACCCATGCCTTTGCCAGAAGGGACTTTTTTTCTTTCTAATAGTATTTTCTATGTAATTTTTTTTACATTAGATAAATACAGATAGTTCTCCTACCAATGGTTTTGAGTTTTAACCTTTATCTATTATTATGTTAACATTTTTCTTGGTTTAATTAGATTTATTTGAGTGTTTGAATTCATCTTATTTGGATTGATTTAAACTTTTTATAATTTTTGTATGATTCATTTACTCTATGTAGAAAAGTGTAGAAATATAATTGAGCTTGTGCTCGAGTCAATCTTGAATCATTTAAACAGTTGAAATTATAGGTTATAGTGTCATTTCGCACAATCTTAAAATAATACGATTAAGATTTATATTATTTTAGCTAGAATGTACAAATATTTTACTTGTTTTGGCTATTTCTTAATGAACACTCTCTTGAAAACTTGAAGGGTGTTGCCCCGAATCAAATGAAACCTTTAACTTTTGCTCGATAACATTCTCAACAAAATTCGCCCCCCAATTAAATTATCCTGGGTGGGTCCGCCCCTGCCTTCTAGATTCGTCAACTGACATAGTATTATTGGAACATTGTGTGACGTTTAGTCTTTGTTAGAGAATAGTAGCTTATGCATCATGTATGGTTCATTCTTTTAATATCAAGTATCGTTTAGAACTATATAAAATTTTCGGGAAAATTTCTGATATTGAGAAAATTTGTTCAGAACTATATAAGATATGCAGTACGGCAGAAGCGTTCTGATGCAAAAAAAGCTCTTAAACATATACTGTTCAATGGGGGATGCTCAACGTCGACAGCTGAGGTCTGCATTTTATTCACTAGTACTATGTGTACATGTAATATGCCTACGCCTACGTGTGTCAAATCAATATGAGTCAGCATTATATATATATTTTCATCCTGGAATTTCTTTGGGATACGGTTCTAATTTGAATCTCACTCCAAATTGTTAACAAGGAGAGCTATTCCCCCTCACTCCTCCATTTATAGATAATGGGGAGAGAAATTCCTCTCAGATCAATGCTATTACTTTCATTTATAATTCTAGTTACTTAAGATGTACGCACTTTCAAAAAGAATACATTTGTACCTGAAATCCAAGTTCACTATCAAAAACTTTCATCACTTCTCGAACATAGGATCAACTGCATGCGTTACATAGAATATAACTTCCCATTTTCTCTATATTGAACATAGTTTACATAAAGCGTATTTCGATGGGATTGCACCACACCCATCATACAGAAATATGTCAAGTAATTGAAAAATGAATATCAAGAGTTTATTTTTATTTTTCTCGTAACAAGTAGCCAAGACCTTGAAATAATCTGATTATACTTCTGCTTCTATGTCATGACTAATTAATTTATTTATTTTTGGAATAGACAAAAGTAGGAGTATGTTAGTTACAATTGGATTTGACCAACACATGTCCTTTTTCTTAAAAGGCTTTTCTATTTCCACATAACGTCATGGTTGTTTGAGATCTTTTTAAACTATTTTTATTCAGTTCGGTAGCTTTTGTTTTTCTATTTATGGTTCTTGCCCTTCTCTATGTTGGATTATTATTCCCCCTTCATTTTCTACGTACAGTCGTTTCCAAGGATAAAAGCTGACTACGAAGATCTGCTAAACAAGAAATCTCGAATAAAACCTGCTCGTCAAGCTAGGAGAGCTTACCACAAGAAAATGAAACGTAAGTTTCTCTTCGAACTTTTTTGCCTGAGTTATTGTGTCCGAGATCTCTTTTCAGATCATTTGCATGTTTTACCGTCTTAATGTAGCTATTTCCTTGCATTTAGATCGATGCTACAGAAATCCTGTTTTCCTGAATGTTCTTAAAATCACATAAAACCTCATGCCTTAATTTTGTTATCCTGGAGTATATTTACCATCTTCTGCTGAAAACAATTGTTCACATATCCTCAAATACGTTACTAGATTTTGATTTATTCTGTGATGGATTGCTAATTAGAATTAGCAGAGGTGACAAAAGGCTGTGGTCGAACACTCTACAATTATGAGGATAAGGTGTTGGGTTCGGGTCTTAATTGTAGTGTGGATACTTGTAAAATGTCATGTTGTTTCTTTGTTAAATAAGATATAGACGATCGATTAAATATGATTAAATACTAGTGAAGGCATTTTAGGAATCTCTTGCTTACAAATGATAATACCTGCCTTCCCCCGTCACACACACACACACCCAATAATATAAAAGACGTATAATTTATCTTAGTAATTAGGTTACTAAGATTATCTTAGTAATAATATAAAAGACGTATAATTTAGCGTCTAAGGTTTAGAGCTAATTAGGTTAGATCGTTCTGTTTTTACTCAAATATTCAAGAAACCCATGGGGTTGTAGGAGGATATTGTGAAGGGTCTTTGGTGACACATGATATATACAAGGAATAGATGAAATCAAGTAAAATGACTAATTTGCCAGTGTTATTAAAAATTGTTGGTTTAATTTGTCTTCTATTCTCGTTTTTCTTTTTGTTTTCTTGTTTGTTATAAGTTTTTCCAATCTCTTTGTCTCCTTGTAACAATCACTGTCTGCCATTTGGTCCACCTTCACTACTCACCACTGCCCCTAAAAATGGCCATTCATGCGCTTTCCAACACACAAATGAACTCCAAATCTGCCCCTATATTTATCTAATACTCGAAGTCCACTGAATTGAGAAAATAGAGAGCAAATTTGGTCAAATGTGCAGTAGCAATTTTAAATTCCTTCCTCTGTTGTCTGTCAACCTTGGAATTCGTATAAAACATCATGGTACCAATTGGTTGAAGGATTGATGTCATCTCCTTAATAAGATTCTCTGAAAAGACATATTGAAGGATGAAAGACGTCGAGTTATATTTGTGCAGTGTCTCTGCTTATTGAAATGACATTTATAAAGATTTAACGTCCATCCGCTTCACTAGAATTCCATTCAAAATGTACGGAAAGATAATTATGATTTTCTGTCAGTAGTTATGACTTATGGGGGTGATTGAATCAATTTGTATTATTTACAAGGCTTCTTTGTATACACGAACAAAGAAGAGGAAATGATACACTTGCCACCAAGACTGGGCAATGCAACTTAAAGGTACATGCATATATAAATCTTAATCGGTTAGGAGTATCAATTTTCCTTTTTGAATTTTTTTTTGGGGGGTGATAGTTGCTGTCGTCATCGTCATTATCCATTTTAAAATCCAAAATGAAGATAGAAATTGGTTCATCAGTGAAATCCTTTTACATGCGATTCGTATTCTTGGGATTATCCTCTAAACATTTCCCCTGAAAAAATAAATGTCGTTCAATTTCAGGTAAGCATCGGAAAGAGAATTTTTCTGAAGATTATGATGTCAACCCTGATAGAATATTCCACGCTGCATTTGGGAATAGAGACTTTACTTGGACCTTCAGAGCCTCAGAAACGGGATTTGATTGGTCACAAAATTATAGATGGAGTAACGGTAGATTTAGTAAACATGGAAGTAGTACAGAATCGGGTGTTAAGTCTTTCACTATAGGAACATATGCTGATAGGAAAATCCTCGGTTTACCGGCAGCTGGTCCCTTGGAAATTGAAGATGTCAAGGCTGCGTAATTACTTTCTTCTCTTGCTTTATTTTATTAACCGGTCGATGGTTTGTAGGAGGTTTCATAATTCTAAGGATTTACTATATGATAATTGTGTTTCTTACAGATTTCGTGTGTCAGCTTTGAAGTGGCATCCTGACAAGCACCAAGATTCTTCTAAGGTAGTTATTCTCCTTTTTTCCTAATTAAAATGTCAAAGTCGACTTTTTTATAAAATTGTCATGATATGCTCAAGTTGTAGTTACAAGAAAACAGTGTCGTATATTTCACCTAAACTAAAAAATTGATATTTCGCACAGTCAGAACAATCGATATTTGATGGCAGTACTTTTGATATCAGTTGAATTTGGTATTAAAAAGTTGTGTATATTTCGTATGGCATTCAGATTCCAAAGTTGAATGAATATGTTTTTTTGCTTGACATATACAAATGTGAAATTTTGCAGGCTAATGCTGAAGAGAAATTCAAGGATTGTGTGAATGCATACAAATCACTGTGCAACACTCTCTCAGCGGCGGCCTAATTTTGTTCGTGTAATCCTCGAGCATTAAACTAACTTATATTTTTAGCCCCTCTTTGTTCCTTTTCGGCTTCAAGCTTAAAATTATTGATTTTTCGTTGTAACTTACAGATGTATGTAAAAAGCTTTCTTATTTTCTTCTTAATAATAGATAGATGCATGAATAAGATTCTTGAAACCCCATCATAACTTATTATATTGTATGTGGAACAATCATTATTCTTAAATTAGACCATCCACTGCTGCTAAGTTTCGGTTAGAAGTTAGTTGCACTTACTTCGCAGATCTGATATCCTTTGCTCGATCAAAAAATTGTCCGACTCTTGGATGTGGAAAAAATGGTTCCGTCTATCAACCCTTGTGATTCTTGCACGGCAATGAAATTTGTTCTTTACATGGCTTATCTTGCCTTCTAGTCATAATTTTTATTGGATCATCGAAGCTCCAATAATATAGTTTAGTTTCATTAAAAAAATAATAATAAATAAATAAATAAAAGGTTGAACAAGAAAATCTTTAAAAGAATCAAAACAACAACACCAATATTGAAGCAGGTCTGAATGTAACAACAAAAAATGAAAGAAATAGTACTGCCAAAACTCCTTCAACCCTATAAATAATAAACTTATCCAACCCACCTTTATTGAAACACAATCAATTACTCAGTGACATATCTATTCATTACTAGCAACAACATTAAACTCGAAACCAACCGATAACACAAGAATCGTTTCCTCAGGCCAAGGGTATTATTCCTCATTTATTTTAGGACATATTATTATTATTAGCAGCAACTACCTGATAACCATCACAACCGCTGACATCATCATCTTCTTGTTCTTGTCGATCGCTGTCACCATCGTCGTATTCTCCCCTTATTAACTGTTCTTGATTTTGCTGTTGCACTTGTCCCATCATTTGCATTAATATCTGTTCCGGCTTCAAATTACAACCACCGCCACTAACATCTGTGTTATTATTATTATCATTATTTCGAGCTTTCTTCGACTTGTTTGCGTAGATTGACTCGAGCATGCTAAAATAAGGGCACGTCTTCGAGTCTTGTGGCCTCTTCTTATTACCGTCTTTCACTCTCTTGTAGTACTTATTTATATTCTCCCATTTTTCTTTACACCTCTTAGCACTTCTCTCAAAACCGAGCTTCTTCATACAAGCCGAAATCTCCTCCCACAAAGGCCCCTTTGGCCCATTTTCTTCGTACTGCATATCAAGATCCGTTTTCAGCAATATCAAAGACTCCACTTCCGCTTTCGGCCATCTCGAAGAACTCGTTTGAACACTACTACTATTCTTCTCGCCGATGCTATTAACATTAACAATAGCATTCTCTTGTTCGTTATTGTCGCAAGGTTTGTTGTTGAATAACGGATCGAGAATTTCCGAAATGTGTGTAATTGGGAGATCCTGGTGAGTAATTTTCTTCAAGAAATCAAGAACATATGCATCCTTTGCCGACGCAGTCGATCTCTCTTGGGCTAGAATTTGCCGTTCTCTTTTTATAGTAGCCATTTCTTGCGACAACCAAGCTTCTGTTCTGGCCATCCGATCGTTCTGGCTCTTTTCGACGGCTTCTAAAAATTTGTTCTGCATTTCTCCTTGCTTCTCCAAAATATCTTTCACCAAACCCTCTAGATAATCTTCTAGCTTCCTCTTCTTCTTCTTCTTCTTCTTCTTCGAACTCCCTTGTGAGTCTTTTCCGGATGAAGAAGATGTCGATGTGGAGTCCGACATTAATTCGGACTGTATCGTAAAATCTTGAAATAAATTGGTTACGGGTTTTGGCAAAAGGGTCGTTGCGATTTGTGTCATTTCTGTTGCGTACGAGGGTATTTGGCTCAGGGGAGTTGATGGGACAGAGAATTGGGAGTCTAGAAGCTCTAATTGATCGAAGAATTTGTAGTTTTTGCCCTTGTGCCGAATGGATCTTCCATCTTTGGTTCTCTTGTGGTACTTGTATATGTTTTCGAACTTCTCTTTGCATTTCTTGGCGTTTCGGTTGTATCCAAGCTCACCTAGTTTCCTGATAACAACATGTCATATTTAACTAATTCAGTCCCTCAATTTCTTTTAGGGTTCATCAAATTAATAAATGAAACACACACAAAACAAAAGTAGGAACAACCCAATTTCAAAAACTGGTCAAACCCACAAATTCAAAAGGAGCAACCAACTCAGTCCAACAGCAATTACAGATACACAAATGAATATAATTCAGATAAGTAGAAAAAAAAAATAGGAAAGTGAAGTTAGAAAATGAGACCTGGAAACTTCATCCCAAAGAGGAGCTTTAAGATTGGAGTCACGAAAAGCTGTGTCCATTTCAGACCTTATCTTCAGTAAAGCTAATGTTTCCTCACGCGGCCACCGCTTCCCGCCTGAATTCCGGCTACCTTCTTCTTCGCCGCCGCCGCCTTCATTTCCGAATTCAACCGCCGCCGCATCTGAGGCCGAGCCACCACTAGCTCCACCGCCACTGTTTTCCAGGAAAACTGAACTTTCCAACATGACTTTAACTTAAATTGGAATCGGATAGTAAAACTGAAAAATCTTAACTTGAGTTGAAAACCAAAAGCAATTTTTTTTTTAACTCAAGTCTCTTAATTTTGAAGTTTTTAGCAGTTCAGGTAAAAATTAAAAACTAAAACAAAAATGTTGGGTTGAATTTATGGGCTTTTGTTTCTCTCTCTAGAATTTTCTCTTAACCCCCATAAAAGTTAAAACAATACATGAATTCTAATTAAAGAAAAGAAAAAAAGAAAAAAGAAAAGAGGGTGGTGAAGGTGAAGTAGGGCTTAGGGTTTCTTTTGGGGATAAAGATAAGACAGGCTGTGTTCAAGTAGGGTCAACTTGCTAATTATCTCCTCAAAAAAGCAAAAACATAAAACTTGCTAATTAATTATTAATGACGTGGAGATACATAATTGGCTAAAAAAATGAAATTCAAATTTTGACTTTTTTCTAGCCAAGTAAATATTTGAAGAATGAGAGCAACTTTTTGTGACTATTTTGGAATATTGTGAAAAGTTTGAGGTCAGAAATGGGTGGAGTTAGAAGTCATTGAGGAGGCAACTACAAGTGTAAAAGGATAGGGATGAATATTAATATGAATATGAATTTGAATATGATATGAGAGATAAATTGACAATACTCTCGTTGCATTGGAACCTAATATTTTGTTTCCAGTATATTTGGCTTATTAGTCCAACATTAAATATTTTTTAATTTTAGGATTTTTTATGAGCAATTATTTTTATTATTTTAAGTTTAGGTGTTATATTTTTTACTACTAAATTCATCGCTTTTGATATGTATTATAAATAAAAATAAACGTAATGTATATGATAAAATTATGCCCAACTTTTTAAACTCAATTTCTAGTTATAATTTCAATTTTATTTCAATTTCATCAATTTCGACCAAAAAATATTCATTTTGACTTTTTCTTTTATAAACTTTTTTTATGCCGCCGGCTTTTACCTTTTTTCTTTTTAAATTTGTTTCCCACTCGCTGCTGAACGATGACTGTAATATTGTTGTTGTTGGCAATAATTGTACTGTCAACCACATCAATAATTTTTCTTTCCTTTTTTATTTTGTTTGTTTTGTTGACGGTCAACGTAATAATATTATTGTATAATATTATAATATTAATGTGTCTCACATTAAAATTACTGTAAATATAATAATATTATTGTCAATCACATCAATATATTCTTTTTGGTTTTTTTATTTTGTTTGATATGTTGATCGGTCAACGTAATATTATTACAGTCTACTACTATTGTAATATTAATGTGGTTGACAGTAAAATTACTGTAAACACAATAATATTATTGTCAACCCCCACATCAATATTAATTTTATTTTATTTTTTGTCTTTTTTTATTTTGTTTGATTTGTTGACCGGTCAACGTAATAATATTACTGTGTACTATTGTAAAATTACTGTTTTTTATAGTAAAATTATTGTAAACACAAATAATATTACTTTCAACCACATCAATATTATTATTATTTTACTTTTTTATTTTGTTTGATTTGTTGATTGGTCAACGTAATAATATAAGGGAAATATGCAATCCCCCCCCCCCCTAAAATGGAAAATATTATGTAAAAACCCATTTGACTTTTTAGACTTTTTCCCACACCCATATCCCAATCTTAATTAGTGAGACCCCCTTATTAAGATAGGATAAGACATAATTACCCTTAACAACAGTTTTTTTTTTCCTCCTTCTTAGCAGCTCTCTCTCTCTCACGTGAACTCTCTCTCCCTTTTTTTTTTTTTGCTTCTTCTTCTTATTTGCAGATCTGTAAACCGCCGCCGCTCGCATGCGAGATTTACACTTGCGCCGCCGCCCTCCTCCCTCCTTTTCACACCACCGCCATTATCCACTCACCCAACCACCGAGATCGCAGCCGCCGTCTAGGGTTGGGCCGTCAAGACTTGCTACGTTGTCAAACCTCCCAAAAAACTCATGATGTTGTCGCCTCCTACACATCACACCACCTCCCTATCGTTATTTTCTTTTTTTTTCTTTTTTTTTCTCTCCAGATCTGATGCAGCAACATCAACGTGACTATAGTCTGGTTCGAATATGACTATTCGATTTTTTTTTGCAACTTTCTGTTTTTGTGTTCCTGGAAGTTTCTCAGCAACTCAAGATGCCTTTTTGCATTCAAGGTTTTTTCCTTCTCTCTTCGTGTCTGCTGTGTGTGTTTAAATATTAAAGAGAGAGAAAGAGTCCATCATCATACCTGAGTTAGTGGGGTCGATATATATATGTATATAGTGATTGTTTTTTTTTATGTATTTTTTGATTTCTCCTTCTTTTTCTTTTTTTTTTCAGATCTGAAAATTGTATTTTTTATGTATGAAGACCTCGTCGACTCCTATCCCTATCTCTCGTTATTTTTTAGTTTGGGGGGAAGATATGCCAGGGTGATTTTGTGTATGAAGACCTCGTCGACTCCCATTCCTCTCTCTCGTTATTTTTCTTTCGTTAATTTTCTACCTTTATTTATGTATTTTCTCTCTCTCTCTCTCTCTCTCTCTCTCTCTCTCTCTCTCTCTCTCTCTCTCTCTCTCTCTCTCTCTCTCTCTCTCTCTCTCTCTCTCTCTCTCTCTCTCTCTCTCTCTCTCTCCCCCTTTCCCCCAGACTTGAAAAAAGAGTTTCAAATTTGTACAGTTGCAGCAACATGACTATAGTCATTTTTTTTTTTGTAGTTGGAAAAATTGAGGGTTCCCCCCCCCCCCCCCCCCCACCCCTCTTTCGTTAATTTTCTACCTTTATTCATGTACTTTCGATTTCTCTCTCTTTTTTTTTTTTGGATCTGAAAATACAGTTAAAAAATGTACAGTAGCAGCAACATGACTATAGTCATATTCGAATATGACTATAGTCATATTTATGTATTTTTCAAATATGACTATTGTTGAATATGATTGTAGTCATATTCGAATATGTTCTAGATTCTCGTTTCAAGTTGACTTGTAATAACAATATTCAAATTGTGGTTTTTTGTGATTTTTTGTGTGTGGATGTTGGTTGCATTGTTTCCCTAAACAATAGGGAATCTTAGTTGTTTTATATAATTTGGTAAACATGACTTTACCGTATTATATAATCGGAATGTTGAAGTTAAAAATTTAAAAAAGTGCAATATATTGAAAGAATATGACTACAGTTGATATAGTCACATATAGTCATATTAGACTATAGTCTTATTCAACTATAGTCATATTCGTAGTACACTTGTCGGGGGAAAAAAAATCAATTTTTCGTTTAAAAAAATTTAAGAAAATATGCCTATAGTCATATTCAAATATAGTCATATTCGGCGTAGTAAACTTGTCGGGAAAAAAAATAATTTTTCGTTTAAAAGAATTTAAGAAAATATTAAAAAAAATATGAAAAATAAAAAATAATTAAAAAAATTAAAAAAAAAAAACTTCATCTGCACGTGGGTTTTGATTTTGTATGTGAAGAAGCAATTTTTTTTTTTTTGTTGGCTTATTTTATGGAGCATATTAAGTTGATTTTTTATTTTTTTAATTAGTTGGCTGATTTTAAGGAATTGGAATATTGAGTTGGAAAAAAATTGCTATTATTTTGGTATTATTTAAGGAAAGTGACGTGGATTATTGGGGTGGATTATTGGGTAGGAGATTTTCTAATTTCAGAAGGGTAGTATTGAAATTAATATTTATAGGGGTTTATCACAAAGAAAGATTTAAGGGTTGAACATATCACCATTTATTACTCATCCAATGGGTTTATTGCTAAAGACCCCATAATATAATTGTCTATCATTGTAACATTAATGTGGTTGTCATTAAAATTACAGTAAACACAATAATGTATTGTCAACCATATCAATATTATTTATTTATATTTTCCTTTTTTACTTTATTTGATTTGTTTATCGACCAAAGTAATAATATTAATGTCTACTATTGTAATA